ATGTATCAGTTACTATGAAACGGATTTATTTAGAATGGAGATTTGCGGAGGAAGAATGTCTTAAAGAGATGAATGTAGATGGATGGACGAGAGATAAGAACGAGGACCATGTCTTAAAGAAAGCATATAATATTAACGTGGATGAATGGATGAGAGATAAGAACGAACTTAAAGAAAGTATATAATATCAACGTGGATGGATGGATGAGAGATAAGAACGAGGACCATATCTTAATGAAAGTATATAATATCAATGTGGATGAATGGATGAGAGATAAGAACGAGGACAATGTCTTAATGAAAGTATATAATATTAACGTGGATGGATGGATGAGAGATAACAACGAGGATCATGTCTTAAAGAAAGTATATAATATCAACGTATATAATGAGAGATCAACGACCATGGTATATAATATCAATGGATGGATGAGAGATAACGATTGAAAAAAGATGGATAGATTAGATGGATGTGAAAGATGATATTTATAAAAGGAGAGTAGTCGGATGTGATGGCCGATAGGGATCAGTGGAAGATGGCATAATGCGTCGATCCCAAATAATGATAAAGGCAAGGTAATATTACTATTGGAATCGTGCTAATTTTGCCTACATTAAAGTCGTTTTTTATCAAAATACTAGCTACTCGCTCCGGCTTTGCACAGGTGTACATGTATTATATATATAAACCTTCCTCTTGAATCACTCCATCTATTAAAAGAACGCTTCAAAATTCGTTGCGTAGTTTTAAAGATTTAAGCATACATACGGATGGACAGACAGCGAGAGACTTTGTTTTATACTATGTAATGATGATGTTGAGAAACTATTTTGATATTATTTTTTGTATTCTCTAATGAAAAACTATAAAACAAAATTATATATATGTCACTTTACTGTCTACCATAAATATATAATAATTATATATTTATCCCTTTATGAATACATTTCTTATATATTTCTACAACAAAATGACAGTATTTTCTATCTAATTATTATAATTAATTAAATAACAAAAATATTTATACATTAAAACTTTAATAAAACTCAAATCCAGCGCAGTTTCTACAAGGTTGGTTCAATTCTAGAACAAATGGGGAATGACGAAGTTTTATATTGGCTTAGTAGCCGTCTTATGGAATTAAAGCGAAATAGAAGAGCCTGAATTTCTAACTCTTCAAACCAATTTTTTATGTATAATATTTTATTAACATTGGTATTATATTACATATATAATACCAATAAAAAATAAGCACTTAATATAAAATGATAACCATTACCTAAATACAGTTTCATAATAATAATCACCTAATATAATTCACACAGTGCCTTCTAGTCACTAGTTAGAAAACACCCAGACCAGTCAAGTACCTTACTTCCGTTCTTTGCGGATTTCATTCTTCGTAATCTTCCAGTGTGTTGACAGTGTGTTTTGGTCTTGACAGTGCGTTTTATATACATATACATAATATATATATATATATATATAAAACATCTTCAATACAAATGTTTGTACCGCAGGTATCGAACCCGCGATCATCGTAACTAAAGCAGTGTGCTAAACTGCTAGATCACCGAGGCTGTCTACAAGTTAGTTCTAGGCAAACATAAATTATTTTGTTATACATCAGTATTTAGTTTGTGCATATCAAAGTGTATACGGCACTTTGATATGCACAAATCGAAGAGCTGTTAATTTGAATTTACAAACAGACATTTTAATTTTATATATTTAATCGAAATAGGTGTTATTTAGCGGAAGTCCATTCCATTACTTAATGTATTTATAACTGCAGCGGAATTAAACAGAATAACATAAATCCATTAATTTTATATATTAGTATAGATGGAGTCACTTCTAGTGATAGTAATAATGTGGATAACAGTAAAAAAGATTTGGTAAAGTGGAAATAAGCATTTTAGTGACGCCAGCGCGAGCTTGGTGCCTTCTTTAATCGAATTAACTGCGCCAAAAAGCAGTAGCTTTGGAATTCTAGCTTATAGAAATTACTATAATACTGGCATTATATTGTTATGTAATGGCACACTATTGTACTTACTATAATGTGTAATATCTGACGTAATACCACAGCTTAAACGATAAAGTAATGTGCCTTTATGACTATATTCCCATATGGTAGTTTTTTTTAATATATGTTAATGGAATGCTGTACCCGCCTGCGCTAAGGGATCACGCTGGCTGGGTACCAGTGGAGGATGTTAAGATGAACATGACGTCAGGTCAGTTAGCCCATCGGGACAAATTAATAAGGAATTTGTCACGATGTTTTCCAGGAGGAACTGTGTGGAGGTCAATGAAGTTATCAGTCCATACTATGAAAAGTCCCCTTTCCACCATAAGATGGGGTAGTTATATGCGTTATCAATTGTCAACGTTGTGGAGAACATTATACTTTATTTACCTACATATAATATATTGAATCCAACGTAGCAGTGGGCGAGCTTACCGGCATCTCAATAAGTATTATTTTTAACGCTGTTTCTAAGACTGAAAAGTCAAAAATTGACGTACATTTATTAAAAAAAACTCAAAATACTTTGAGTCAAAATTCAAACTAGCAACCAATTGGTAAAAATAGAAAATCACTATACAAATATGTTCTTAATAATACCAATGTAGCAGTTAAAAAAGTAATCTGGTATTTCACTATTATTGGGCATGTTCACTTACTGTTAAAATAAAGATATATGATTCTAAAATTGTGTATATTAAAATGAAGAATGCAGATTCATCTGAACAGAATCGGCAAGAATAAATGGTATATTTTACAATAGTGATATATAACTTTGACCTAACGAATAATGTTTATGATACTGATTATAGAGAAAACGATAGAGCACATTTTGAATGTGTTTGTGTTTTACAGGTTAAAAGGAACTTTTTCCGTGACAAAGGCATATTATTATATTCATATATATTTCTATATAGGTATGAACTTAATAATATGTTCTCGTAAATTTATAAACATTGGGAAAAGTCCTAGGGTAGGAACTGGGCTAAATATTGAAATACAATTACAATTAGTTGTTTTTTTCGGACTACTCTAACGCTGTTGGCCGCAGCTGGTCTTTACAGCTTCACCGGACGTTAGGGGGCGAGTGCCGATGGCACTTCAAGCCCACGGAAGGACTTATGGAGCGGCTGAAGGCCTGCCTGACGGATACGACTTTAGTCTGAGGGCACCACTAGGGGTCCGAACCTGGGCTCTGGCGTCGTAATTTCGATCCCCGTTTGAATTGGACGGGGGATCGATCGGAGGGGTTTATAATTAGATTTAATTATAAAAATATATATTTCAAGTATCCGATTGAATAAACATTAACAATAAAGTTAATAATAAATAACAACAGTTATTTTGTATTGTTAAAGATAAATATAATTAATCTTATTGATGAGAAAGTCTTAATTAATTCTGAAGTAATTGGTAGAGCAGGAGCTCCGTTGCCAAATATTCAGAATAAATTATGAGTTTGTTTGTAGCGTTTATAAATTAAGGATATAGATTCACTTAGTATTGATACAAAGTTTAAAAATAAATCGAATTTAATATCTTGAACAACTCTCACAGTGCCATCTAGTCCTAGGTAGACTTTATGTTATGGGTATTAGACAATTTGTGCATTTCAATACTACTACATCTACATATAGCTAGTGCTAGCGGTCTAGCACACCGCTTTACGTCCGATGGTCGCGGGTTCGATTCCTCACACGGTACAAACATTTGTATTCATGGGTATGATTGTTTGTGTCGGTTTGGGTGTTTTCTATGTATAATATGTATGTATTTACGAAAAAAATATCTATGTATTTGTATCAGTTATCGAGTACCCATAACACAAGCTTTAGCTAGCTTAACTGGGGCCTAGATGGTGCTGTGTGAATTGTCCTGAGATTATTATTATAGAAAACATAGAGACCGATACAAATAATTTTACTCATGAATACAAATATTTGTATTTTACTTGTAGATATTGCAAATCTTAATAATATTATAAACTTGAAAGTTTGTGACTATGGATGAATGTTTGTTACTCTTTCACGCAAAAACTACTGAACGGTTTTTGATTAAACTTTACAGTAACATAGCTAATACATCAGAATGACATATAGGCTATAAATTTCATGCGGATGCAACTGCGGGCACAGCTAGTATGTAATAGAATCAGCGGGGTACATCAGTCCAGCAATAGCTGAGTTTGTATCACTGTACTATTGTTGGCAATAAATAGAGTTAATATATATATACTATATATATATATGTATATATATCGTATCTCCCTTTAACTGGAGATATTTATTATTATTATCATCATTATGATTCATTTTCATAAGTTATACTGTTATGATTATTTTTTTATTTTTTTTTTAATCGTAATTATTCGATATATTTAGAGTTACGGGTCACACTGACCAAGTAATTCTAAATGTATTTATTTAAGTTTTTCTTATATTTTCCTGTAAAAACTTGCACACTATACGACAGGTATTTATTATTATTATATACTGTTGAAGTTGATTAAAAAAAAAAAAACAAATATATTACAATCTAAAAATGTAATGAGTCTGTGGTCTGTATTCAGTAGTATTAGAGAGTTGTTAAAATTAGTGGAATAAAAAGTTTGTTGAGAATAAAAATTGTGTGTTTGAGTTTTGAAGGTTGTTTTAGTGAAATAATTCCTTCATATTAAGTGGTCCTTACGATCCGGATAAGTTTGAAATAAAAAAGAACTTGTATTTTGAGTGATATTATTAAATAATTGAACATTTAATAAATACATTGAGCACAGTGTAATTAAGTGAGCGCGAAAATAGATCATAGACAATACCGGTACAGACGTTCCGTTGGACTCAGTTCATAAAGTAACTATTACACAATATTTTATTTGAAATAGTGATTATTGACTTATAATATCGAAACATTTTTTTTTGTTTTAAAAACATTTAATATTTATTCAGTGCATAAAAAATATTTAGAAAAATGGAAAATTTATTAGTGCTTCAAGAAAATAATTATTCTATCTTACAAAAAACTATATCTAATTTTAAGAAAACACCGAAGCCAAGATTAAATAAAAGTTACTTGAAAGTGAGATTAGAAAGTTTAGAGAAACATTGGGATATCTTTGATGAGACACATAGAAATATAGTAAAGACATCTACATTAGAACAAAGAAAGAAGCATGAATATTTTGAAAAGGATTTATTTTCGAAATGCGAAGAAGAGTATTTTGTTTTGCAAAGCAGATATCACAGAGATGTTAGAAAGTTTTGAGTCATCAAATATAGTCCAGGAGCCATGTACAAAATATGTAAATCAAGACGTAAAATTACCCAAAATAAATATACCCCTATACCAAGGCGATTATAGCGAGTGGATAACATTCAAAGATTTGTACACATCATTAATTCATAACAATAAAAATTTGAGTAAAATACAAAAGATGCATTACCTGAAGTCCAGTTTAACTGGCGAAGCTGAACAACTTTTGAAACACATACAAATTACCGAAAATAATTATGACATCGCCTGGAGTACATTATCTAATAGATATAATAATAAAAGAATAATAGTAAATTCAATTTTGACTAGACTTTTGGGACAGAGACGAATATTTACAGCTTCATCAAAGAACATAAAAGATTTATTAGATACAACAAATGAATGTTTAAATAATTTAAAGAATAACAACATTAATATTGAGAATTGGGATCCATTAATAATACATATAATTAGTAATAAATTAGACTCGGAGTCTCAAAAAACATGGGAAGAAGAATTGCAAACAATACCTGTTGAAGAATTACCTACGTTAGAAAAATTTAAGAAATATTTAGAAGGAAGATTTAGAGTAACAGAAATGATTCAAACATCTTATATGAAAGAGAGAACTCAAATTAAACCAAAATCGTTTGCTACAATAACTAGTAATGCTGTAAAAAGAAATACAGAGTATAGAAGTAGAAATACAGAATGTGGAAAGTGTAAAGAGAATCACGACATATTTTCATGCAAAGAGTTTATTAAGCTAGATCCAGTTATGAGAACAGAGTACATTAAAAAGGAGAGATTATGCTTTAATTGTTTGCGTCCTGGTCATAGTGTAAAATTTTGTAGATATAGAATGAGATGCGATATCTGTAATAGAAAGCACCACACGTTGATACATATAACTAAACCAAATTTAGAGACTATTAATAATGAGACTGAAGAGATTAGAACACCAGATAATCAAACAATGAGTCAACACAATATTCTTTCACATGTGTCAATACGAGGCCGTGTGTCATTACTTGCTACTGCTTTGGTGAATTTAGAAACGAGCAGAGGGCCACAGATTGTACGAGCTTTAATAGACCCTTGCTCAGAAGAATCATTTATAAGTGAAGCAGTTGTAAAGAGATTACAATTGAAATGTAAAGATGTAGAAGGTCAGGTATCAGCAGTTGGACAGATGTCTACCCCGTTCAAGCACGCGGCGGAGATTGAGTTATCCTCTAGAATGAATAAAAATTATAAATTAAAGTGTACTGCTTATATAATTAAGCATGTTACAGATATCATGCCCGCTACAAGAATAAATTATGAGCATTGGACACATTTCAGTGGCATCGAGTTAGCAGATCCAACTTACCATACACCTGGAAATGTAGACCTTTTATTGGGTGTTCATGTCTACACAGATATTTTGATGAGTGGAGTTTTAAAGAGAAAGCAAGGAGAACCAATCGCCCAACAAACTTACTTAGGGTGGATAATATCTGGCGGCGAAGCTGTTGAGAGATTACCAAATAAGGGCCAAATTATTAGTATGCATTTGAGTGTAACGTTAGATAATATGCTACAGAGATTTTGGGAATGTGAGTCACTAGAGTCTGAGAATAAAAATACACTTACCTCCCAAGAAGCTAGAGCAGAAGAAATATATGAGAAAACAGTCATGAGAGATGAACAAGGACGATATGTAGTCAGCTTACCATTTGTGAGAGACAATCCAATCTTACCTGAAAATTCTAGAGAAATAGCAATGAGAAGATTAAGAGGTTTAGAGAGAAGATTGGCTGGAAATGAAAACTTAAAACGAGAGTATGATAATGTGTTAAAAGAGTATATAACATTAAACCATATGGAATTAGTAAAAGATGAGAGAGAGAAAGATACAGTCTACTTACCGCATCACGCAGTTTTCAGAGATGATAAAACAACATCGAAAGTGCGTGTATTTGATGCTTCGTGTCGAGGTACAAACGGAGTTGTTGGCGACAGCTCCTCAGGGAGAGCAGTGGACTGTATCGATGAAAGAAACGGTTGTCTCTCGAAGCCTGTTTATTCTCTCCACAGAAGTTTCACAATTAAGTTATAACCGTATTCGATGTTACATTCAAGTTTCAGCCGCAGTAGCTCAGACTGTATGGCGTCTATAGGAACGCTATACCTACGACTACCGCGACTGACTTTTAATAACGGACTATAACTGCCGTCCGTACTGTGTTCGATTATGACAGCCGTCGGCATATAACAATCCGACTATGACTGTCTGAGTCCCTCTATTATAACAGTATTATCACTGCATTATAACTATATTACGACTAAGAGATATATATAATAGACAACATCGAACTGGCAATAAACCAAGACCTTATTTCTATCAGACAATGCACAACGTTATACGACTTCATAACAATATCTTTGCACATTGCCGAAATTCCCTTACTTCTTTATTCTCACAAACTAACAGTTACTCATAAAGAATGCATTGCATTTTACAACTCCACCCAAGAATATTTAACATTGGTGCAATAACCAATTTCCTTGTCTAATTACAATGCACTGTAAACACGGATTGGACAATATTCATAAAGACATGAATTACCGTGTTCCGTCCGTTAGTCTACAATAAGAATATGTTTACAATAAGAAACCCTACGGTCATCATAAACCCGATGGCTAGAAAATAGTAACGGTGTTATCTTATCACAAAAGGCCAACAAATATTCATTGTGTTTATAAACAATGAATGCCAAATGAACGCTGGTACCCAAACACATGTTCAACCGTTATCGTAGTTTTAAACAGTGAATCGATGTCTTATGGAAACAGCACTTTTAAAAACTAATATTATTTCTAAGTTAAATTTCAACACACAACTTATTGTCTACCTAATCTACACAAATTTGTGGTCAGACGCCGCTTATATGTGTCGCCTGTCGTCAATAGGAGTATCACTTAACGATGAGCTTTTGATTGGACCTAATTTACAAGAAGAGTTAAAAGATATTATCCTAAGATGGAGAACACATAAAATAGTTTTTGTGGCAGATATTATTAAAATGTATCGCCAAATAAAAATACAAGAGAGAGACACAAAATATCAGAGAATATTATATAGATTTAATCAAAATAATGAAATACAAACCTATAAATTACTGACAGTTACCTTTGGCATGGCTTCAGCACCTTACCTTGCAATAAAAACCATGAGACAGCTTGCTAAAGATGAAAATACACAGTATCCTGTTGCCTCGAAAATTGTGAATTCAGACTTTTATATGGACGATGTATTAACTGGTTTTGATAATGTGAGCGATGCGATAAATGCACAAAAAGAGTTAGCAGAAATGTTATTGAAAGGAAAATTTGAATTACAAAAAATATCTTCAAATAGTCAAGAATTTATGAATTCAATAGATCCTGAGAAAAGAGTGAATAGTATTGTATTAGATATAAATCATAAAGAGACTGTGAAGACTTTGGGTATTATGTGGGAGACAAATGAGGACAGTTTAAAAATAGCACCTACTTATATGAAAAGCGAAAATACTAATTTACTTACTAAGAGAAATATATTGCGCCAGATAGCTTCTTTATTCGATCCTATGGGTTGGTTATCACCTGCCATAATTAAAGCAAAGATATTTATGCAAAAGCTCTGGCTAAAACCAGTAGATTGGGATAAAGAACTGTCGAATGATCTGAAAGAAGAATGGAATAAATATAAAAATGATTTACCTGTACTGTCCGAAATCAAGATTCCTAGATGGAATGAACGTCCTAGTGATGTGGACGTGGAGTTACATGGATTTGCAGACGCCTCGCAATCAGCATATGCGGCCGTAGTTTATACTAGAGTATTGAGTAATAATAAAAATCCCTGCCAAACAACGTTGATCATGGCAAGAACTAAAGTTGCGCCTGTAAAACAAATATCTTTACCGCGCTTGGAACTATGTGCAGCAGCATTGTTAAGTAAATTACTTAAACATGTTATGAGAATACTTTCCATTGATACCAGTAAAACATTTGCTTGGTCTGACTGCAAAGTAACATTGGCCTGGATAAAAGGCGATCCAAATAAATGGACACCATTTGTTAAAAATAGAGTTATAGAAATTAGAAACAATTTGAATATTCAGTGGTTGTACATTAATACAAAAGAGAACCCCGCTGATCCAGCATCACGAGGATTATTACCCAGTGTACTAAAAGAGAGTCATTTATGGTGGCAAGGTCCAGAATTTCTGCAAATGTCTAATTTTATGTTACCAAAAGATATAATTCCTGAAACAGAGTTGGAAAAAAGAGTTCAGATTAAATGTATAATACGACAGTTATAAAAACTAAAGATGATGAATTTAAACTTACCTTATTGAATAGATTTTCGTCACTGAAGAAACTATTGAACGTTGTTGCCTTTTGTAGAAGATGGATGAAAAATGTAAAAAGAGAAAATATTAAACATAAAAGCATAGATTGTGAAGAAAGAGATAAGGCACTTACCGTTTGTGTTAAAATAGCTCAGCAAATAGACTTTACAGATGAAATAGAAACCCTGAAAAAGAAGAAAATTATTAAAAGATGTAGTCGATTATTACCATTATGTCCTTACCTTGATGAGAATGATGTTCTGAGAGTTGGTGGCCGTTTAAAGCATGCAGAGCTGAAATATGAAAGAAAACATCCTGTCATACTTACCAGAGATAATCCACTTATACCACTTCTGTTGAATGATGCACACAAAGAGACGCTGCATGGAGGTCCTCGATTAATGACTTCATACCTGCAAAATAATTATTGGATTATAAATGGCGGTCAAAGAATAAAGAGATTTTATAGACAGTGCAAAAAATGTGCTATATATAATGCTACTACTAGTAATCAATTAATGGGAAACTTACCTGACGTTAGAGTGAATCCATCTCGCCCATTTTCAATAAGTGGAGTCGATTATGCTGGTCCGATACGATGTCGAATGAGCAAAGGACGAGGAGCTAAAGCATATAAATAATATATATGCCTATTTATTTTCATGGCAACAAAAGCCATACACCTTGAGTTAGTCAGTGACATGACAACAGAAGCATTTATTTCGTCATTTTAACTAAGGAACTACGTTTATATCAGTAGAGAAAACCCTATTTGAGATGTGGAAACAGGGTAAAAACGAACTTCCTGAAGAATTGAGAATTTTGTTGGATGATAGAGGCACTGTTTGGAAATATATACCACCTGGCGCTCCTAACTTTGGAGGCTTATGGGAAGCTGGGGTGAAATCTGTGAAGTATCATCTTAAGCGTGTACTAGGAGATACTACGCTTACTTTTGAGGAGTTATACACAGTCTTGACTCAAGTAGAGGCTTGTCTTAATTCGCGTCCACTAACAGCACTTAATGATGATTACGAGTATCTGACACCCGGACATTTCCTTGTTGGAGAGCCTACTATAACTTTACCAGACAGAAACTATGAAAAGGTAAATGTATCCAATATAACGAGATGGCAATTGACGCAGAAAATGGTGCGTGATTTTTGGTCAAGATGGCAAACTGAATATTTGTCTCGATTACAGCAACGTCCGAAATGGATGAGGGTTCAAAAAGATTTCGAGATTGGAGATATGGTCTTAATAAAAGACTCAAGAGCGTCTCCATCCAGTTGGCGCCTTGGTCGAATACAAAAGAAGTATCCGAGTTCCGATGGCCTAGCTAGAGTTTACGATGTTCGTACAGCCACAGGTGTTATGCAACGTTCGATGTCTAAACTTTGTAGACTTCCTGATTTCAACTGAGAATGATACGTACAAGGATATGGGCATATCCTTGGCGGCGGTGAATGTTGAAGTTGATTAAAAAAAAAAACAAATATATTACAATCTAAAATGTTATTAGTCTGTGGTCTGTAATCAGTAGTATTAGAGAGTTGTTAAAATTAGTGGAATAAAAAGTTTGTTGAGAATAAAAATTGTGCGTTTGAGTTTTGAAGGTTGTTTTAGTGAAATAATTCCTTCAAATATAAATACATATGACAGTCATTGTTTGTAAAAAAATACCCTTAAGGGGGTAAAATAAAATAGGGGATGCAAGTTTTTATGTAATATCTTAATTTTTGAAGCTAGAATGTTGAAACTTTTTTTTGAGTCTGTTGATTAAATATAAATACATATGACATTCATTGTTTGTAAAAAATTTACCCTTAGGTAAATTAAAAATTTAAATGAAATTTCGTACACAGTTAGTTTACACCCGGACAAAGAATATAGGTACTTTTGAATGTGAATAAAGGATTGTAAGAGGGTTGCAATGAACCGCTGTATGGAAGAATCGTCATTTTTTAAAACTAGAAGTTTGAGACTCATTTCTAGGGTGTTGTTTAATATCAATAAATATGACATTCAATGTTTGTAAAATTTGAAAGTTATTGTGGAAATTTGCCGTTTGTGTGGTTGTGGAAGCTTAAACGATTAAACTTTTTTCTTTGTATTTTTAGAGTTAGTTTATTAAGTACCTTACTTATATTATAAATGTGAAAGTAACTTTGTCTGTCTCGCTTACACGCCAAAATTACTGAACCAATTTAAATTGAAATTTGAAACAGACATAGATAGACTAGATCCTGAGAAAGAACATAGGTTACTTTTTAATGTGAAAAAGGGTTGCAAGAGGATTAAAAGGGTAGATCCAAGGTTATATAGATGTATCGTCATGTTTAAAGCTAGAAGCTTGAAATTTATTTTGTAGCCTATTGATTAAATATTTATTTTTATATTTTAATATTTTTGAAGCTAAAACGATGAAACTTATTTATTTGACTTATATTGTGTTAATTGAGTTAAATATTTTTCATCATTTACACGGACGAAGTCGCGGGTACAGCTAGTATGAATTAAAGATGGAATATGTAAATCAAACGTATGATGGAATCAAACGTCTCCTATATAAAAAATAAGTTATACCTAGTTTAACATACACACCTTTTTTTTTTTACAAAGTCAGGAAAATCCATCATGGAGAACCATTCCCTTAGGGAGGAACGGATCCTGCCGGCCTCCTACCTGCTAAAAACCTGACGACTATTCCTCCTTGAATCATATCGCCCGGGCCAGGGGAACGCAAAGCATTCGCCCAAGACCCCGGCATGGTACCCATCGAAGGGATCTCCATCTAGGCGTGCAGGCGTGTCTGGACGCCACCGCCAGACCCTAAAACCTCGCCGGCGAGCTTCGGATTGCCCTAACAATCTTCCACCCTAGGGTCAATTTTGGAGTCGATGCACACCCCCCCCCCCACCTGTGGCCCGCGACGCGGCTCGGGCCTTAGGCGGGCGACACAAATTCGTGACGCCCACTCTATGGTCGGACTTCCGACCCGCCGCGGCACAGTACCGACAGTTTGGTGATGGCGCAGCGCACCGTGCGGCCTTATGGCCGGGCTCGCTGCAGCGGGAACAGATTACGCAGCAGTCTTCCCCGGCGGTGCATCGGACGCCCACAATGCCGGTAAGAAGGCACCGATAACACCGCTGAGGTCGCGGGTCCAGAGCCTGTACCCGCGCCATCACCTACCCGATCCTAAGCCGGCCGGGGAGTTTCCCCGGTTTTTACCGCGGACTCCAGGCAACCCCCTCGCGCATCACAGCGACAACAATGTCAGCCACCAGTGTCGAGTCGTCCAGGTCTCCGATTCTCAGTTCGGCCGACTTAACTGGCCTGGAGAGGGGGAAAGGGGATAGTTAGTAATGTGGACTGATGATCTCATTGCTAGCAATGTACCATGTCAGGTCGACCTCCACGCGGTTCCCCCTGGAAACCATCGTGATAAATTCTTGATGAATTTGTCACGATGGGCTAACTGACCTGACCTCATGCTCATCTTATCATCCTCCACTGGTGGCCCGCCAGCGTACACCGTTAGCGCAGGCGGGTGCACCATTCCATGATCATCCATAAAAAAACTGGCCTGGAGACCCGGACGACGTCCTCGGGCAGGACCTCCACCAACCAGGCGGCTAACGCGTCTGCCGCCTCGCCTGTGTTGGCGCCGGGTATTTCTAGAATACGGGCTCCGGTCCTTCCCACGTGGAACCTCAGGTCGGTGATACCGAGCTGGGCCAAGGATATCTTGGCCTTCGCCTCGGTGAGCACCGATCCGTAGGTGACGCCCCTCTTCTTGGCTCCCGGCCTCATGATCAGGATGACCGCCGATGACCGAGGGGAGCGCGCTTTCACCTTCCGCGCAGAAGGCTTCCGCTGCGGTTCCTCCTTGTGGCCGCCGCTTAGCGCCTTCGTTTGTCGCGCGCTGGTGTGTCCGACAGCAGGCGTACTCTTGGCGGCCTTTTGCGGCCGCGTTCGCTTCGCCGAGATCCGCTCCTCCATCTCGGCGAAGCGGGTGTTCATCATTTCGCCTACTCGCCAGATGATCCGGTTCTCGGCGTCCTCTGACAGGGTTCGGGGCGTGGCGCCTTTTGGTTTCACTTCCGCCGTCGTCCCCGCAATCACCACCGGCGGTAGCTCGGCGGCGGTCTGCGCCTCCTCCAGCTGGCGCATGGTCTTATGCAGGGCGGCGCGGTCTAGAGCGTTGGACCTCTTAAGGTCCTCTAGTTGTCTGGCGCTCTCCCGCGCCTGCCTCTGCCATTCCTCCCTCTCCGCCTTCATTAGCTCCAGCTGTTCGGCTAATGAGGCGAAGGAACCCGCTTTTACCCGGAGGGCGACCAACTCTCGCCTCTCCTTCAGGCCCTCCTGAACCGCCGCTTTGGACAGCTCCCTCGTATCCTCCAGCTCAACGCGCAACATGGCGACCTGCCTCGTGAGCGCCATTACCTCCGCGCTGGTCGACCGCTCTTTGAGGACATCAGACGCCAAACGGATGGCAGAGACAGCGTCCTTTACGTCCTTCACAATAGTGCCCTTCAGGTTGCCGGACTTTTTTATGGCGGCGAGTACCAGAAGGGCACTGTCCTCTATTTTGGCGGCCAGTTCATCGGCGCGCAACGACTCGTCTACGGTTGACCAGTGGACGGCAGTCCTCGCCGCGGAGACGGACCTGGAGGATCCGGCAGAGGCCGAACCCTATGTCTCAATGCGGGAGGCTGGCCTGCGCTTCCCCTTCCCACCTATCTTCGGGATCACAGCCCGCTTCTCCATCTGCACCACTTCGACGTCGTCGTCGGAGTCAAGGTCTTGCGACTTCTCGACGACACGTCTCTTACGCCTAAGTCTTTTGGGCGACGTGCTCACCCTCAGGCAGTCCTCCGTCGTTACCGACAGGGAGTTGCGGCAGTCCTCCGACGCAACCGACAATCCGGACTCCGTGCACTCGGAGTCCATGCCGGCCACGTGGA